TTGGAATGCATTTAGAAGTCCAAAGAGTTTCAAAGAGCCATATAAGTTATGCTCCAAATTCTCAATCGTAACTTGCAAAGCATTTTTCATATAGAAAACATTGAAATTTGGATAAATATATTTCTAAAAGAATTGTATCCCTTTGAGTTAATTTTTCAACGTATTTTGAATCACCTCAATCGAATATCAGGAGAGAAAGTTATGATAAAAATATTGACGACTGCTTAGTCATTGCTCGCCTGTCGCTGACTTGACCCTCGAGTGACGGGTCGAAGTCCAGGATTCTATTTTGCTTCAAACACTTAGTTTTTTTAATCAATTTTCATGTCAAACATTTTTCTCTATATATATCATAACCTATGAACGTCTAAAAGGGTGTTGAATCATATTTTCCATAGAGATCGTTCCTTTGAAGATCCAAAACACATTTTGTTGATTCAAATATTCTACCATCAAAATATTTGAGCCATAATTTCATCCAAACTTAGATTGTTGATTTAGTTATNTGAACGTCCAAAAGTGTGTTGAATCATATTTTCCATAGAGATCATTTGATTGAAAACGGAAAACACATTCATTGATTCAAAGATTCAACCACCATATTTTTTGAGCCATAATTTCATCCAAACTTTGATTGTTGATTTAGTTATATTGTTTCATATTAAACCATAGATCAAAACACACAAGATCTTTTGATGAAATACCAAACCACTTAATCCGCCAAAGATAAATTGATACTAGGGATCGAGAACTGTTGCAAACGTACAAATTCAGAAAGATTAAGGTGAGGTACCAGAGTCGGGATATGACGTTAGAGCACGGAGTCTAGGAGGGCTCAGGTATAAATCAGGAGTCGGGATTTGTTTTAAAGGAGCACACAATCAGTATGATCAAGGAAACTGTAAGAATTGATGTCAGAAGTTTTACGGGGTAGATGGGTCTGGATCGTATTGTAAGTTTTCTTCGATTATAGTGGATTATTAATTGTCAAAGTGCCCGAAATTTTTACCCAATTGGGGTTTCTCCTTAATCAACTTTAGTGTTCTTTATTACTTTAATTATTGATTGTAGTATTCAAATTTAGGACAAATTGATTTGTTTGATCTAATCATCTAGAAACAATTAAAAACTGACTTTTTGCTTTTAATTGTATAATATCGTATGTGGGTCTAAATATTCGATAATTTAAAACTTTCAAAAGAAAATGGAGAAAGAAAGAAATGGGATCTTGGGGATGGAGACGGTTATCATATGTGGGAGTGGGATGGGGTTAAAGAAGAAAGCGAAGGGAAAAAGACAAAGTAGAAAGAACGAGAAGGGGGTCTTTGGGGGTAAGTTTATCAAATGTAGGGG